CTCTCTCTCTCTCTCTCTCTCTCTCTCTCTCTCTCGCACACACACACACACACAATCAGTTTTATGTATGTCTGCCTTTCTGTTGCATACCATAACGGTACAGACCAGAACAAGAACCGACCTCTCTCACATAGTACAGGATAGCGCAGCGGAAAGCTAAAATGCCAATGATCCGACCAATCAATGTCGCAATGCAGACTAAACATACATCATCATCATCGCAAGGTGGGAAGGGCCTGGCGCTACACACAGGAAGAAGGCACCAGGTCCAGACCATACACAGACGAGGAGGAGGGGATCAGACGAAAAAGAGGGGGAAGATGGGAATGTCGTCAACACCAAGCCTTCGGTACAGGTCCCAAATAATCCCTCGTCCAATGTCTCAATGTCGAGTCTGAATTCAAATGTCATCAACTCCCAAAGTCACCAATCCCTCTCTCTCTCGTAGTCTGCAGATACTGGGAAGTCAGGTAGCGAGAGGGTGAGGGAGAGATGGTGGACTTAGAAGAGGAAGAAGAAGAACTCTCTCTGTCTCTCTCTCTCTCTCTCTCTCTCTCTCTCTCTCTCTCTCTCTCTCTCTCTCTCTCTCTCTGTGTGTCCGGTACTAACCTGTGAAGATGGCGCCTTGTTGCAGGTACATCGAAGACGAAGCTGGAGCTATGGCGCCACAGATAAGTCTCCCTGGCCTCCACCAACTCTCTCTCTCTCCAACGCTACTCTAGGCTCCTAATGGCGCCCAGAGCTGAAGACTACTCCTAGCGCTAGCTACTACTACTGCACCGCTCCTCCAGAGTGCTGCTGCCGAATCCTGAAGACTGCCTCCTGCCTCCTGCACGTGAAGTGCCCGTGAACTGCCTGGGAAGTCCCCGTGACTACCGGCAGCCTGCAGGGCGGGTCAGTACTATATAGTGCCGGCCCATCCGGGAGGCTGCTCTTGCCAATGCCGAAACGTGCCAGGCCCTGGCGTTTTGTCTTGAAACAGGCCCAAAAATGGCCTGTGCTAAACCCTGGTCTGGCGCCCGAGTTTCAGGGCAGGTCGACTTTATGAGGGCCTAAAATTGGCCCTCGTTTTCAGGCTTTTAGGCTGAAACGACACAGGGCCTGGAGGGCCCTTATTTTCCGTCTGGTCGGGCCCTGCAGGCCCGTGTGGCTGCGCAGTATGCCACACTTTCTCTCGTTGTTTCTTCTTCCTCTGATTCTTTTCCAAGTCCTTTCTGTATGTTTGAGTAAGAACCTTAAAGAAGTGGTAAACAGTAGGTGGTCCGTCGTTTGGAGTGCTTGAAGAACTCTTAGGTGATACGTGCTCATTTGAGCAATGTATGTGGAGGCAAGGATCCGCAAAGTGTTGAAAAGGACTCGAATAGACAATGCAGTGTCAGCAAAGCATCCACAAGCAATGTGCATCCAGATACATATGAAAATAACACAATGTAGCGCAGCGGAAGAATCAAAGATATGACCTGAAATGTCAGACACTGACGCGACACCCCATCATACACCACACGTGAGAGACGGAGGAGAGACTGCATACATGGAAGAAAGGTGCCTCCTTGAACACGCACATGGGGGAGATACCACGGATGAGAAGATGTGGGAGAGTCGAGACAAAGATGGTGAGGAGGGAGAAGACCAAGATCGCGATAGCGAAGTCCAAAAATAGTCTCCCAGGCGAATGTCCAATCAATGTCTGTCTCAAAAATGTCGAATCAGATCCTGGGCTCCATGTCCGATGTACCTCTGCCTTCTCTCTCTCTCTCTCTCTCTCTCTCTCTCTCTCTCTCTCTCTCTCTCTCTCTCTCTCTCTCTCTCTCTCTCTCTCAAACGAGTAGAAGAAGGAGGAGGAGGAGCGAGGAGGAAGAAGAGAAGGAGGGCGAGACGAAGAAGAAGAAGAAGACGTCGTCCTCCTCGATGTCTCACCTGCAGGTAACTGCCGCCATGTACTAACCGCCGCCAGTCTCTCTCTCTCTCTCTCTATCTCTCTCTCTCTCTCTCTCTCTCTCTCTCTCTCTCTCTCTCTCTCTCTCTCTCTCTCTCTCTCTCTCTCTCTCTCTCTCTCTCTCTCTGTCTGTCTGTCTGTCTGTCTGCAGGTCGCTGGCGTGGAGCCAGCTACGGCGCCCAGGTGAGGACCGACGATGCAGGTATGGCCTCCGCCCCTCGCCCTACCTACACCTCTACTCTCTAGCGCAGCGCCGTGTCGCGCTGCTCCAGCAGTGTGTCACCCAAGAAGTGAGCTACTCGAACTGTGTGTCTGCCCGGGCGTGGCACAGCTGTAAGTAGCACTGGGCGTCGCGGCTGTGCCTTAATATGCCTCTGGTCCTAGGCCAAAACGTGGCCTGCCTGGGTCCCTACCGGACGTCCAGGCCCTCCCTGCTGATGCAGCAGGGAGTGTTCGCAACTGGACAACAATGGACCTGGCCCGAAAGGGCCTGCCTGTGTCCCTACCAAGCCTAAAAACGTGGCCTTGTCCAAACAGACCCAAGGTCTGTTCGGACGTACTGAATTGCAAGTCTGAAACAACGCCTGAACAGACAAAAACAGGAGAGCAAATAAATAAATAATGAATGCTGCCGCAAATCGAAACCTGCGGCCCTAAGGCCAGCCGTGGGCCTCCAGGGCGCATGTCCGAAGGCGTGCGGCATGGGGGCCCCCAGCAACCGTCGGGGCCCCAAAATGGGGCCCGTGTGCAGGCTCAGCATGCAACATAGGGGAGCCTCTCTGCTCGAGATGTCTGTGTAGGGTATATGGTCTATGGGTGATGACCGATGTCCGTCAGAGTGACTCCCTGGCTCAGTGGGTGGTGGGAACCAATAGTCCATGGGCGACGACCGATGTCCGTCGGAGTGACTCCGTTGCTCCGTGTTGGATGTGTAGACTGCCTTGCCTGTGCTCGGGTGCTGCCTTGCTGCCTATCCCGCTTGTTTGGCATGTCACTCTTTGCAGTGCTGTGTTCATCGTGTGGTGTGGCCGTGTTGTTGGTTGCCTTGTGCTTCACTGCTCTGCTTCCTCGTCGCTCATCCACATGCCTTGCCTTCCGCGCTCTTTGCTTGTGTGCCATGTGGTGTGGCTGCTGCGGTGGTGTTGCCTTGTGCTTCGCTGCACTGTTGCTGTG